ATCGTCGACTCTATGTACAGATGGGTAGTTGTGTCAATCTGGGTTTTTTTTTATGGATCTTACCTTTTGTGTTTCGGTGATTATCGATATGAGAGAGAGAGAGAGAGAGAGAGAGAGAGAGAGAGAGAGAGAGAGAGAGAGAGGTGAATTAGGACAAAATGACTCTAAAATTAGTGACAAAAATGACTCTAAAATAAATTAAAAGTGGGCAGATAGACAGACACAGAGAGACAGAGAGACAGACTGACAGACAGAGAAGTAACATCCTTGGAAAGCAAAGACAAACAGGGAGACAGAGGACAGACAGACAAACAGACAGACAGACAGACAGACAGACACAGACAGACAGACAGACACAGACAGACAGACAGAGACAGAGAGACAGACAGACAGACACAGACAGACAGACAGACAGAAGACAGACAGACACAGAGAGACAGACACAGACAGACACAGAAAGACAGACAGAAACAACAGAGTCAAACAATATTCTCCTTTAGGGTTTGTATTATAAGACAGGAATTTTTTCATTTCCTGATGGAGGAGACTGGTGAGGGAGACAAAGAGCTGCTGGGGAGAGGAGGGGTGGGGAGAAGGGGAGTGGGGGAGAAGGGAGGGGTGGGGAGAAGGGGAGGGGTGGGGAGAAGGTGAGGGACAGAGCTGCTGGGAGAGGAGGAGTGGGGAGAAGGGGAGGTGGGGGAGGTGGGGGGTGGGGGGAAGGGGGAGGGGAGGTGGGGAGAAGGAGGGAGACAAAGAGCTGCTGGGGGAGGAGTGGGGAGAAGGGGAGGGGAGAAGGGGAGGGGTGGGGAGAAGGGGGGAGGTGGGGGAGAAGGTGAGAAGGAGGGGAGGGGTGGGAGAAGGGGAGGGTGGGGAGAAGGTGAGGGAGACAAAGAGCTGCTGGAGGAGGGAGGGAGAAGGAGGGGAGAAGGAGGGGTGGGAGAAGGGAGGGGTGGGGAGAAGGGGAGGTGGGGAGAAGGGAGGGGGGGGGGAGAAGGGAGGGGTGGGGAGAAGGGGGAGGGGGGAGAAGGGGAGGGGTGGGGAGAAGGGGAGGGGTGGGGAGAAGGAGGTGGGGGAGAAGGAGGGGGGAGGGTGGGGAGAAGGGGAGGGGGGGGAGAAGGAGGGGGTGGGAGAAGGAGGGGTGGGGAGAAGGAGGGAGGGGGAGAAGGGGAGGGGGGAGAAGGGAGGTGGGGAGAGGGGGTGGGGGAGGGGAGGGGGGGGAAAAGGAGGGAGACGAAGAGCTACTGGGGAGAGGGAGGGAAGAAGGGGAAAAGAGGAAGGGGTGAGGGGAGGGAAGGGGAGGAGGGGAGAAATTGTGGTTATAATGTGGGAGAGGGGAGAGGAGGGAGGGGGAGGAGGAGTATGAGGATGGGTGAGGGGAGGGAGGAAGGAGGAGGAGAAGAAGAGAGGGAGAGGAGATGAGATAGGGGACTTGTGGTTATTATTTGGGAGGGGAAATGAGGGGAGGAAGGGGGGGGGAGTTGAGAGGGTAATGGAGGGGGAGGGAATGAGAGGGTGAGGGGGAGGGGGGGGAGAGGGGGAAAGAAGGGGTAAGAGGCAAGAAGACAAGGGAAGAGAGAGAATGAAAGAGAGAAAAATGAATAAATTAAATGAAGGCAACAATAACTAGTTCATTTGTTTTTAAGACTGAGAGTCGTCCCCAACCATTACGCACACACACACACACACACACACACACACACACACACACACACACACACACACACACACACACACACACGAGTAAAAAGAGAATGTGTGCGTGCCTGTGTGTGTGTGTCTGGGTACTAACACATAACTCACATTAGTTGGGCTTAACTGTACCAAGACGTACGGTCCAAGTTTCAACATAGAGGAGGTGTAAATTCAGCCTTAAGCACTGACGTTGATAGCACTGTCTTGAACCCGTAGTATGGGGAGGTAGGGGTGTGTTCTGAACCCTTAACAACAACAACAACAACAACGACGATAACAACAACAACGATAACAACAACAACGACGATAACAACAACAACGATAACAACAACAACGACGATAATAATAATAATAATAATAATAATAATAATAATAATAATAATAATAATAATAATAATAATAATAATAATAACAATAATTATAAAATCACCTAAAATCGTAAAAAAAAAAAATAATGTCCCTAATCTGGCAACACTTCCCATGGCGTTATTTCCGGTTCATTGTAATGGCGGCGGTGTTCAGAAACTTATTTGCCGATTATCATAAAATTTGAGCAAGTGTGGAAGGCGAGGCGTGACCTGTCGTTAACTAGACACTGATGCTCGTAACCTGGAGTAGGAACGGCACTGAAGGCAATCAGGTGTTCGTCTGGCGTAGAGTCAATAAAGTTTTGGATCGCCAGACACAGTGGACTTGTGATGGTGTTTTTCCTCTCTCTCTTTCTCGTCTATCTTTCTCTTGTTCTTCTCCTATTCTCTTCCTCCTTCATCCTCTTCCTCCTCCAACTACTCCTCCTCACCTCTTCCTCCTCATCCTCCAACCAACCACTCCTCCCCCTCTTCCTCCTCATCCTCCAACCAACCACTCCTCCCCCCCAAAACTAACCTATCCAAGAGCATCATTATGAGTAAGCCCCGCGGGGTAGTCTTGTGGGGGGGAAGAGAGGAGGGGAGGAGAGGGAAGGGGGGCTGGCCTGTGGAACTAGGAGCCCCGTGGGGTGGTAATGGCCTCCCTCCCTCGTGGTGGTTCTGCTGCATACTAACATTCTTCCCCCACAAGATGGCCTCCTACCCTCGGGAATCCCCGGCAATTTGAGGATTTGACTTGATGACCAAGAGAAGTGGGTAACCTTACTCTAGTGGCGAGGGATGAGCTGAAACGGCCCTGGGGAGGTTTCCTAGACGAGGGGTGAATACTGGATGAGTAAGGGCAGTGGTGCGTGTTTAGGGTGTGTTTAGTGTGTTTTAGGGTGTGTTAGGGTGTGTTTAGATGTGTTTGGGGGTGTGTCGAGGTGTGTTTAGGGGTGTGTTTAGTGTGTTTAGGGGTGTGTTTAGGTGTGTTTTAGGGGTGTGTTTAGGTGTGTTTAAGGGTGTGTTTAAGGTGTGTTTAGGGGTGTGTTTTAGAGGTGTGTTTAGGGAGTGTGTTGGGGTGTGTTTAGGGTGTGTTTAGAGGTGTGTTTAGAGTATGTGTTTAGGGTGTGTTTAGGTGTGTTTAGGTGTGTTTAGAGGTGTGTTTTAGTGTGTTTAGGAGTGTGTTTAGTGTGTTTAGAGGTGTGTTTTAGGGGTGTGTTTAGAGGTGTGTTTAGGAGTGTGTTTAGTGTGTTTAGTGTGTTTAGGTGTTAGAGGTGTGTTTAGGGGTGTTAGGGTGTGTTAGTGTGTGATCAAGCCCTCTCACACCCTCAGTAGGTAAAAGAAGAAACTCTCACTAAGAGTTTCTGAGATCCACAACAACACGTTTAGGAGGACCTTGGGTGCCAATTCTCTTAGTGGCGATCTGGCATACTAAGAGGAGGTGCTCTAAACTGGAGTGGGGAGGTGCTCTAACTGGAGGGGAGGTGCTCTAACTGGAGGGGAGGTGCTCCAACTGGAGGGGGAGGTGCTCTAACTGAGGGGAGGTGCTCTAACTGGAGGAGGAGGTGCTCTAACTGAGGGGAGGTGCCTAACTGGGAAGGAGGAGGTGCTCTAACTGGAGGGGAGGTGCTCTAACTGAGGGGGAGGTGCTCTAACTGGAGGAGGAGGTGCTCTAACTGGAGGGGAGGTGCTCTAACTGGAGGGGAGGTGCTCTAACTGGAGTGGGGAGGTGCTGTAACTGGAGGAGAGTGTGCCTAACTGAGGGGAGGTGCTCTAACTGGAAGGAGGAGGTGCTCTAACCGGAGGAGGAGGTGCTCTAACTGAAGGAGGAGGTGCTCTAACTGGAGGGGAGGTGCTTCAACTGGAGGGGGGAGGTGCTGTAACTGAGGAGGAGGTGCTCTAACTGGAGGAGGAGGTGCTCTAACTGGAGGGGGAGGTGCTGTAACCGGAGGGGATACCAACTGAGGGGAGGTGCTCTAACTGGAGTGGGGGGTGCCTCTAACTGGAGGGGGAGGCAGTTCTAACTGAGGGGAGGTGCTCTAACTGGAGGGGGAGGTACTCTAACTGGAGGAGGAGGAGGTGCTCTAACTGGAGGGGGAGGGGGGTGCTGTAACTGGAGGGGGAGGGGGGGTGCTGTAACTGGAGGGGTAAGTGCTATAATTGGTAGTAGACAGCTACCAAACAGGGAGGTACTACCGCCTGGGAAGATATTGGAAGCATAATGTGTTGTCTAATGGTAGACCCTGCTGCCATATGTGACCAAGTCCCAGGTTGGTGATCTGACTTTCTGCCTCATTTACACACAATTGCTGGGTCTCAATTGTTTCTCTTACTTTGACAACACAACATACATATATTGTTTCTCACTATTGATCTTTTTTTTTCATTTTTGTATTTTTTTATGGTTCTATATTATTATTATTATTATCATTATTATCAGTATTGTTATTATTATTAGTGTTATTATTATTTAATTTTATTTATTTTCTTATTATAAAATTTATTTACTATGAACTAATTATTATTATTATTATTGTTATATTATTACATCCCCCCCGCCCCCAGGCCCTGATGTGGGTCAGTGACCTGTGTCAGGGTGGGCTAATACCTGTTAAAAAATGGAGGAGGAGGAGGAAGAAGAGAAGGGATGATTGAGGAGGAGGAGGAGGAGGAGGAGAAGAAGGAGGAGGAGGAGGAAGGAGGATTGAGGAGGAAGAACGAGGAGTGAGGAGGAGGAGGACGAAGAGAAAGGAGGAGGAGGAGGTGCTCTCAGGGGACATCAACCAAGCTACATCGGCACGTGTACCTGTTGATTCATTCCTCAACCTCCTCCTCCTCAATCCTCCTCCCGGAATGGGAATTTTGGAGAGTGGGAATGGGGTACTGTGGGGAATGGGAATGGGAATTTTGGATTGGAGATGGAATTTTGGGAATGGGAATGGGAATTTTGGAGTGGAGGGGAATGGGAATGGGAATTTTAAGGACTCCTCTCATCGCTCCCTAGGCTGTCCTCCTTTCCTCTTCCTTCCCTCACCCTTCTACCTTTGTCCTCCAACCTCTACCTCTCCCCTCCTACCCCCTCCCCCCCAAGCTAGGTCAGGAGGTAGTCCCACGCCCAGCAGCCAGTAAGGTTATGAGTGTGGATCAGTTTGGGATTACTCTCTCTCTCTCTCTCTCTCTCTCTCTCTCTCTCTCTCTCTCTCTCTCTCCTACTTGTATAAATTCCAAAACTTTATACCATTATTATTATTTATTATTATCATTATTATTATTATCATCATTATATTATTGCTGAGTTGTGAGGGGAAGATGAGAGAGAGGAGGCAGGGAGGCAGGAGGAGGCTATGAGCTCCTGTTGATCCTGACGAAGGCGGTGGCGATACATTATATACTGCCCTTTGCTTATCCCCAGCAGGAGGGGTCCAGTGGAGTCTTGGAGGGAGGGAGGGGGGGTTAAGGGAGAGGGAGGGAGGAGTGTGGTGAGGAGAGGAGGGGGAGAGGGAGGGAAGGAGAGTATCCTGGAGGAGAGGGAGAGGGGGGTTTTGGAGGGTCAGATAGGAGGCACAGGTACTTTACATACACAGGTAAATTACGACCATTAATTACTTCCTCACACACACACACACACACACACACACACACACACACACACACACACACACACACACACACACACACACACACACACACACACACACATTTCCAGATTACAGGTTTACAAAATACAGATTCCGGGCCTCTTGTTGTCAGATTACAGATTTCTGTCGTGTGTAGGAAATGACTGAGGATAAAATATATATACGAGGATGTAGGGTCAGATTTCTCTCTCTCTCTCTCACTACCTTCTCTCTTAAAGTCTCCAAAATCGCTCAATTATCCATAAATATCGTGAAAATCACCACCTAAAAAAAAGCTAAACTCGTAAACTTCTCTTTTAAAATCGTCAAAATAATCAACTTCTCTTCAAAATCGCAAATATCGCCCAAAATTCGTTAAAATTGTCAACTTCTCACAAAATCGCCCCAAATTGCCCAAATCTCAACTTCTTCCCCAAAATCGTCAACTTCTTCCCCAAAATCGCCAACTTCTTCCCCAAAATCGTCAACTTCTTCCCCCAAAATCGTCAACTTCTTCCCCAAAATCGTCAACTTTTTAAAATCGTCAACTTCTCCTCACTCGACCCAGACAGTTATAACTCCTGAGTGCCAACAATGGTAAAGAGGATGAACAAGGCTTTACTGAAGTGAAGTGAAGTTTGGCGCCGGATTTGACGAGATCTTGGCGGAGATTTGGCGAGATTTGGTAGAGAGTAGCTGAAGTTGATCGTCTGTCTGTCTGTCTGTCTGTCTGTCTGTCTATTCAACCATCATCTGTCAGGTTATAGAAAATGAAAAACATGACGTAATTGTTAGTGGGGACTTATCTTCGTCAGGAGGTCCAGGAGAGCGTTTTCGAGGTCTTTGGGAAACTAAACTTCGACAAGAGAGGATCGTAGAGGACTCACCTTCGTCAGGAGGGCCAGGAGAGGGTCGTGGCGTTGTGGGCGGGGTAACAAGACAGCAGGACCCTGGACAGTATATCACGGTGATGGGGACTTCGTTCACCTGGCTGCCCTTCAGGAGTCACCCATCCCCGCACCTGAAGGAGAAGAGGAGAATAAAATATAATGAGTGATAATTACTTGATTTATCTCGTCTCTTTATATTTCTATAGTTCGTGAGAGACTTGAATTAGATGACGTCATTTGTCTGTCATCAATATATCTCTAACTTATAAAAATTATCTATATATATGTATGTATGTATGTATGTATGTATGTATGTATGTATGTATGTATGTCATCCCCCTCTCTCTCCTACTTACGAAAAGGAAAGTTTTAGAAAGCTCTCTGAGGCAATTTGTTACTAAGTTTCCTTCCCCATCAATCACACTGAGGCTTAAGACTCTCGTTATAGAGCAGGGTTTTCGATTCTTGTAAAGACTCTCTCTCTCTTTTTTTTTTTTTTTTTCTCTTGACATCTCAATTCTTCGAGGTTTCATTATTAAAAAAAATCGTAATTTGAAACACATATCACAACACAACACAACACAACACAACACAACACAACGACAACAACAAGAACACAACACAAAGGTAATTTCTCAAACCCTACAACACAAAAGAGTTGCCAGACATTTAAGGCGTAAGATTAGGCTCTTGGCTCAGAGCTTCATTGTCAAGTCTTTGTATTACCCTCGTGAATATAAAACAGCTGTGTTCCAGTACTTTATGGCGGGGTCTCTGTGACAATAGTGTGTGTGTGTGTGTTGTGTGTGTGTGTTAGTGGTATGTGCGTGTGTGGGTGTTGGTGGTGGGTGTGTGTGTGTGGTGGTGGTAGACTGTGTGTGTATGTGTGTGTGATGATAGACTGACTGTGTGGTGAAAGACTGTCTGCTCAGTTCATTCATCCTCACCATCTTTCAGGCTCTACGTGTAGTGAGAGTTTTATAGTGTCATGAGAGAGAGGGGGTGTTGAAGACAGGTTACAGGGAGGAACTACTTGAAGGAGAAGAGAGGACCTACCTGAAGAAGAAGACCTACCTGAAGAGGGACCTACCTGAAGAAAGGACCACCTGAAGAAGAGAGGACCTACCTGAAGAGATGACTACCTGAAGAAGAGAGGACCTACCTGAAGAACAGAGGACCCTTCAAGAGAACAAGGACCTCCTGAAGACAGAGGACCTACCTGAAGAAGAGGACCTACCTGAAGAGACAGAGGACCTACCCTGAGAAGAACAGAGGACCTCCTGAAGACAGAGGACCTACCTGGAAGAAGAGAGGACCTACCTGAAGAGGGACCTACCTGAAGAACAGAGGACCTCCTGAAAGAACAGAGGACCTACCTGAAGAAGAGGACCTACCTGAAGAAGAGGGACCTACCTGAAGAAGAGAGGACCTACCTGAAGAAGAGGGACCTACCTGGAAGAGGGGACCTGGAAGAGGACCTACCTGAGAGGACCTAGAGAGGACCTACCTGAAGAAGAGATGACCTACCTGAAGAAGAGAGGACCTACTTGAAGAAGAGGATGACCTACCTGAAGAAGAGGGACCACCTGAAGAAGAGAGGACCTACCTGAAGAAGAGAGGACCTACCTGAAGAAGAGATGACCTACCTGAAGAAGAGGAGGACCTACCTGGAAGAGGAGGACCTACCTGAAGAGAGGGACCTCCTGAAGAAGAGGGACCTACCTGAAGAAGAGATGACCTACCTGAGAGAGGGGGACCTACCTGAAGAACAGAGGGACCTACCTGAAGACAGAGGACCTCCTGAGAACAGAGGACCTACCTGAAGAAGAGGGACCTACCTGAAGAAGAGGACTACCTGAAGAAGGAGGACCTACCTGGAAGAGATGATTACCTGAAGAAGAGGACCTACCTGAAGAAGAGAGGACCTACCTGAAGAAGAGAGGACCTACCTGAAGAAGAGATGACCTACCTGAAGAAGAGGGACCTACCTGAAGAAGAGAGTGACCTACCTGAAGAGGACCTACCTGAAGAAGAGGGACTACCTGAGAGAAGAGATCTAGAAGAAGAGAGACCTGCCGAAGAAGAGGACCTCCTGAAGAAGAGGGACCTACCTGAAGAAGGGGGACCTACCTGGAAGAGAGGACCTGTGAGAATCTACCTGGAAGAGGACCCCTGAAGAGAGGGGGACCTGTGGAAGAGAAGATCTACCTGAAGAGAGAGGGACCTACCTGAAGAAGAGATGACCTACCTGAAGAAGAGAGATGACCTACCTGAAGAAGAGAGGGCCTACCTGAAGAAGAGGACCTACCTGAAGAGGACCTACCTGAAGAAGAGAGGACCTACCTGAAGAAGAGATGACCTACCTGAAGAAGAGAGGACCTACCTGAAGAAGGGACCTACCTGAAGAAGAGGGGACCTACCTGAAGAAGAGAGGACCTACCTGAAGAAGAAGAGAGTCTACCTGAAGAAGAGAGGACCTACCTGAAGAAGAGATGCCTACCTGAAGAAGAGATGACCTACCTGAAGAAGAGAGGGGCCTACCTGAAGAAGAGAGGACCTACCTGAAGAGAGGACCTACCTGAAGAAGAGATGACCTACCTGAAGAAGAGAGGACCTACCTGAAGAACAGAGGACCTACCTGAAGAACAGAGGACCTCCTGAAGAACAGAGGACCTACCTGAAGAAGAGAGGACCTACCTGAAGAAGAGAGGACCTACCTGAAGAAGAGAGGACCTACCTGAAGAAGAGATGACCTACCTGAAGAGAGGACCTGCCTGAAGAAGAGAGGACCTACCTGAAGAAGAGAGGACCTACCTGAAGAAGAGATGACCTACCTGGAAGAGAGGACCTACCTGAGAAGAGGCTACCTGAAGAAGAGAGGACCTACCTGAAGAAGAGAGACCTACCTGAAAGAAGAAGAGATCTCTATCTGAAGAGAGGGACCTACCTGAAGAAGAGAGGACCTACCTGAAGAGAGGGACCTACCTGAAGAAGAGAGGAGCTACCTGAAGAAAGGGGGACCTACCTGAAGAAGAAGAAGGATCTACCTGAAGAAGAGAGGACCTGCCTGGAAGAGAGGGACCTACCTGAAGAGATCTACCTGAAGAAGGGGACCTGAAAGAAGAGATGACCTACCGAAGAAGAGATGACCACAGAAGAGAGGACCTACCTGAAGAAGAGAGGGACCTACCTGAAGAAGAGAGGACCTACCTGAAGAAGAGAGGGACCTACCTGAAGAAGAGAGGACCTACCTGAAAGCTACCTGAAGAGGATGACCTACCTGAAGAAGAGAGGACCTACCTGAAGAGATGACCTACCTGAAGAATGGTGAGGTGGTAGGAGATGAGGAGGGATGTCACGGATACGCAGATGAGGACGGAGAGGACGGTTCTGGCTGACCACCACGCCCACACGCCCATCTTCACACCTGCAGGATAATCACAGTTGTTAGATTCTACAGGTGAGAAATTGGGAAAAACCTCATAATTAGAGTAGAGTCTTGGCGTAATATCGTTACCATCTTGGTCGCCATCACTTGAGTCATTCTGTTGTTAAATCCTTAAAATATGAGAGAGAGAGAAATTAATTATGTAAATAATACTTCAATATCGTTCCCAAAACCTCAAAGCAAAGTAAATAAGAGATGAAGAGAGAGAATGAATATCTTCTCTTTGACTTATAACCTTCATCTTGCCGTTCTTGGTGGGATAAAACGTCTCAGTGACCCCTTCAATACGTTTTCTTCTTATGGTCCGTTTTCTTTGATCCGTGACGTCAGGTTCACTTTGGTAGTATGGTAATAACTCGGTTTATGAAGTAAAGGTAAGGAAGGGAGGAGGAAAGAAAAGGTAGGAAGAGAGAGAGAGACGATGGGGAAGATGGAAGTGGCAGGAAATGGACAACGTTTTAATAATGACTCGTAATATTATTTTTTGTTATACCCGGAATGTGGTGGTTGAAGCTCTATCTATCTATCTATCTATCTATCTATCTATCTATCAACTTATAACAGTTCCCCAAATTAAATTAGAAATAAAAAACTAAAAAGAAAAACTCAATTCAGGAACGTAATATAAATTTCCCCAATGAAAAAAAAATAAAAATAAAATAATAATAACAAGCAAATTGAAAAATGGTGAGCGAGGTGGATGGGGGGCTGTCTGTCTGTCTGTCTGTCTGTCTGTCTCGAAGAGTTCTATCCCTCCCAGTCTCCCTCTCTTCTGTCCGTCCGTCAGTCTGTTTCTGTCTGTTTGTTTGTCTGTATCTGTCTATCTTGAAGAACTTTATCCCACACGTCATCCAAAGCCTCTCCTCCCTTATTACTGTCTGCCTGTCCGTCTATCTATCTGTCTTGAAGAGCTCTAACCCTCACCATCTCTCAAACCCTTCCCTCGTTACCGTCTAAATGTGTCTGTCTCTCTGTCTGTCTAAATAAATATACTCAACATATCCTTAAGTTAATATTTAATAAACACAACCTCAAAAATTAGCCTCGAATTATTCCAACAAAACAAATACTCACATTAACTTTCATTATTCCCGTTAAATAATACTATCAATAATTTAAATATATATAAAATCTTTAGAATATTTAACTTAAGAATTATCAACATAAATATGAGAATTAATTGAGGTAAACTTATATTTTGTTGACATTTGAATTAAAGAAAATGTTATAGGTAGAGAGTTGATGGAGGGTAGACTGCCCGAGGTTGACACAGGGCTGTAGATCTAAGACGTGTCAACACTTGAACCAGGAGGACGTGCTCTTCCTCGGCCTTATCTTGATGGCTATTGGCTGGATTATTGTCTTATCTGTTTACATTAATTAAGGGAAGTGATAGGGTTTAATTGTCTTTTGTTCATGTGTATTAAGATGTAATTCTTTTTGTGTCACTATCACCACCACAACCACTACTACTACTACTACTACTACTACTACTACTATCACTATCACTATCACTGCTATCACCATCACTAATATCACCATTACCACTATAACTATTACCATAACCTAGGGGCGGATTCAGGAATATCAAAAGAAAGGGTTCCAAGAAGTTTAGGTGGGGAACATGGCGAGCATAGTGAGCCCACCCAGGAGATATTCTGGGGTCAATAGTAATTTTGTTCAAGTGGAACCGAACCAGGCACCCCCTGATTGCCTCTGTAACTCACTATAATCACCAACCATCACAATATGTCACTCTGCCACTATAATATGCTCAACACTCACACTTTATAACGCATTAAGTCCAAAAACTTTCAAATATATTCTTCTCTTCCCCCTGTCCTTCAACCCCCTCACCCTATCTCCCTGTCTCCCTCTCCTCATTCTCCTCTCCTCCCCACCACCAGCGAAAAATAAAATTGTGTTTATCTCCAGGAAGATTTTCTAGTTTAGTTCCGAAGAATGACGCGATTGGCTGCCTCGATATGTCGTCATTTAGCCATGCTGATGACGACATTGAATTCTAATGACGCCATTGGTTGACTGGCATGACGTCAGCCGCTCATGCTGATGGCGACTTTGAATTCGAATAATGGTTATTGGTTGATTTGACATGACGTCATTGGTTGATATTAATGATGTCACTGATATTAATAACTATTGGCTGAAGAGAAACGACGTCACATAAATAAAACTAACTCAGTAACGCATCTGTATAACTTAAATACCATTTCCTCCTTAATATTTAATTGAATAAACTTTATACACTGACTTTGACTTAGAATTTCAAGACAAATTGAAAATACGGGGAAATTTTCGGCTGGGTTGGTGACGAACGGAAGCCACGCCCACACCATGTTGACCAGCCACTCATGTCGCTGCTCCTCCTCCTCCTCACCCCACCCACATATAAAAGAGGGTGAGGGGAGGGGGAGCAATATTCTTTTCTCACGTGTGTCTCTGTCTGTCTGTCTGTCTGTCTTCTTTTCCACCATTCTTTCCCCCTTCCTGCCCATTCTCTCTCTCTCTCTCTCTCTGCATGTCTTTGGATTACCCACATAAGCCGAACGTGTCCCCTTACATAGTGAGAGAGAGAGAGAGAGATGGTTATATAAACAACAATAAATACTCCTTGTTACTTGACTCTTCTTATATATATACTGTAACACTAGGAAGAAGAGGAGGAGGAAGACAAGGAAGAGGAGGAGGAAGACAAGGAAGAGGAGGAGGACAAGGAAGAGGAGGAAGACAAGGAAGAGGAGGAGGACAAGGAAGAGGAAAAGAAGGAAAAAGAGGAGGAAGGAAAAGAAGGAGGAGGAATAAGAGAAGGAAGAGAAGGAAGATAGGGAAGAAGGAAGAGGAAAGGAGGAAGAGGAAGGAACATTGGAAAGGAAGACGAGAGGACGGGGAGGAGGAGGAGGAAACTTACTTATTGTTGACATTAATGAAGCGAGGAGGCGGACATGTTGTGGAGGAGGTGGTAAGATGGTGGTGGTGGTGGTGGTAGTGGTGGTGGTGGTGGTGGTGGTGGTGGTGTGGGGTGGTAGTAGTGGTAGTAGTGGTAGTGGTGGTGGTGGTGGTAGTAGTGGTGGTGGTAGTTAGTAGTGGTGGGGGTGTAGGTGGTGTATGGGTGGTGGTGGTAGTAGTAGTGGTGGTGGTAGTGGTAGGTGGTGGTGGTGGTGTGGTGGTGGTAGTAGGTGGAGTGGTAGTGGTGGTGGTGGTGGTGGTGGTAGTAGTGGTGGTAGTAGTGGTAGTAGTGGTAGTAGGTAAGTGGTGTGGTGGTGGTATAGTGGTGGGTGGTGGTGGTAGTAGTGGTGGTGGTGGTGGTGGTGGGTGGTGTGGTGGTGGTAGTGTGTGGTGGTGGTGGTGGTGGTGGTGGTGGTGGTGGTGGTGGTGGTGGTGGGTGTGGTGGTGGTGGTGGTAGTGGTAGTGGTAGTGGTAGTGGTGGTGGTGGTGGTGGTAGGTGGTGGTGGTGGTGGTATGAAGTGGTAGGTAGTGGTGGTGGGTGGTGGTGGTAGTAGTGGTGGTAGTAGTAGGTAGTAGGGTGGTAGTGGTAGGTGGGGGTGGTGGTAGGTGGTGGGGGGTGGTGGTGGTGGTGGTGGTGGTGGTGGTAGTGGTGGTGGTGGTGGTGGTGGTGGTGGTGGTGGTGGTGGTGGTGGTGGTGGTAGTGGCAAAAGTAGTGGTGGTAGTAGTGGTGGTGGTAGTGGTGGTGGTGGTGGTGGTGGAGGTAGTAGTAGGTGGTGTGAGTGGGTGGTGGTGGTGGTGCAGGTGGTGGTGGTGGGTGGTGGTGGTGGTAGTGGTGGTGGAGTGGGTGGTGGGTGGTGGTGGTGGTAGTAGTGGTGGTAGTGGTGTGTGTGGTGTGGTGGTGGTAGTAGTGGTGGTAGTAGTGGTGGTAGTGGTGGTAGTGGTAGTGGTGGGGGTGGTGGTGGTGGTGGTGGTGGTGGTGGTAGTAGTGGTGGTGGTAGTGGTGGTGGTGGTGGTGGTGGTGGTGGTGGTGGTAGTAGTGGTGGTGGTAGTGGTGGTGGTGGTGGTGGTGGTGGTGGTGGTAGTAGTGGTGGTGGTAGTGGTGGTGGTAGTGGTGGTAGTGGTAGTGGTGGTGGTGGTAGTAGTGGTGGTAGTGGTAGTGGTGGTGGTGGTGGTGGTGGTAGTAGTGGTGGTAGTAGTGGTGGTGGTAGTGGTGGTAGTGGTGGTGGGATGGGTCGTGTGTTGTGTTGTTCCATTGTGTCGTCAGCCATCTTGATGACGTCCCCCTGAACCTGGTAAACAAAGAAAAACTTCAACAATGGATCCGATAAAAAGGTTCATATGAATCCGGATTCTTAAGAGGTTCGTACGTAGATAAATCCTCCTGGCCCCGTGTGTTCCTCCTTCTTCAGTAGTAGTAGTCACCGTAACCTAGCTCTCGATGCTGCACACAGGAGGAACGAGAACGACAAGAGAAGGGCATATGGGGAGAGAATTTAGAACGTTGATCAAGGCAGCTTCACTCCTCTAGTGTTGACAACCCTGGTGGATGGGCCCAAGTGCAAGATGTTTTTATGCCAGACTCGCGGAGGTGATCTCCGAACAGAAGCAGCAGCCCAGAAGTTATGTTACAGCCTGGATGAGATGTCGACTGTCCTTTCTCCTTAGATCGGCTTTGCTCTGCCTCAGGGGAACGAGAGCTTCGCCCCTACTCCGTCAACTGCTGCAGATATTGACTATGAGGCTACAGTCACTGAATGCCGCATAGATCTGCGGCTCAACTAATTTAACACAGATAGGATAGCTACTTATGTATTAGGATATTTAATATTAAGGTAATTAAATGGTGGCGAAGGTGTGGCTATTGGGGAGGCTGGAGGCCACGTAAAAACAAAAGTAGTAGTAGTAGTATCGTTATTATTATTATTATTATTATTATTATTATTATTATTATTATTATTATTATTTCTATCTCCTAAAAACGTCTAACTCATTCCAGACAATTTTTCTTCACCCGGCGTTCCATCACCACCTCCTCC